CTCCCTCCCCAGGCCCCGCCGCCGACAGGACGGGCCTTTGGATGCCCGGACCTTCCCCGTTAGCCGCCTGCGCGGTCCCCACCAGGACGGCCGACGCGTTTCCAGCGGGAACCTTGTCAAACGAGCGCTACCGCTGTGAGTTTCTGACGTTGTCCGCGTCCATCCCCCCGAGCGTCTGGCCCGGCCCTTCGAACCGGCTCGCCTTCGAATCCGTGTTTTGCCGTTTGTGAGCGTTCGGAACCCCCGTCTTAAAGATATAGCACACGCGCTTCTGAGACCGAAAATTCGACCGTGGTGGAGCCAGATGGGACTTTGAGGAAGTTTGCTGAACTTTATGTGCATCCAAATATGGGGCTAAAATGTCCTCTTGATGCCATTCCAGAGAAAAATAGACAACCAGGAAGGTACCCAGCCACAGTATGAGTGGAAATCAGTGGCTGAGGTTCTTTCTGCGGCCCCAGGCTCTTTCTGCTGTGTGTATGCGAAGTCTTACACATATTTGAAAGCACTGTTTGCTCTCAGCCTTAGGGAAGATTAGTAAGGTCCGGGTTTTTCTCTCATCTGTTTAAACCGCACTTCCCCATTCACACTGTAGGCCGGCACTGAAAGGGTTAATTAGTGTGAAGAATCCACTTGAAATAGGACCAGAAAACTCTCTTAAGTGGTGTCTGGAGAAAAGGAATTCCTTAGTTCACCCAACTGGGGGCCATTATTCACTATTACTAAGCAGTAAGGAAGGTGTATGAATCTGGCATAATTAAATCAGTGATTGCCTGTATTGGGTTTTACGTGGAACGAAGACTATCCTGGCTTAGATTGCTTTTGGATCTGTTTGTTTTTCTTTTTAGAAATGAGTGGTGGATTGGCCCCAAGTAAAAGTACAGTGTATGTATCCAACTTGCCCTTTTCCCTGACCAACAATGACTTATACCGGGTAAGTAAGTTTTATTAATAGTACTATTATCTTCTGAATTATCTATTTGAGAAATAATTGTAGCTAAAGCAAACAGTTCTCCTTGGTAAAATTCTTTTTTTTAATATATTTTATTGATTTTTAAAAGAGAGGAAGGGAGAGGGATAGAGAGTCAAAAACATCGATGAGAGGGGAACATTGATCAGCTGCCTCCTGCACACCCTCTAGTGGGGATGTGCCCGCAACCAAGGTACATGGCCTTGTCGGGAATTGAACCTGGGACCCTTCAGTCCGCAGGCTGACGCTCTATCCACTGAGCCAAACCGGTTAGGCTTGGTAAAATTCTTAATAAGTACATTGCAATGCCTGTCCTGCAGATGGGTGGTTGAGAAAAACTGGAAGGAATGACATGAATCCTTTCTTCCTAGTGTACCCTCTTTCTTTGTGCTACTTGAGGTAGATGTTAAGTAGAGAGATGCTGCACAGATAGTCTATATTGCTTAATTAATTAATTTAGTTTTAATCCCAAAGAACAGAGGAGAAAATGAACTTTAGCTTCTTTGCTTGTTACAAAAGAGACATTTCTGTATTTATTGAACACTTACTGTATGCTGAGCACTCTTAGAGATACTAGGAACACATCAACAAACAAAAAGATGAAAAATCCCTCTTGGCATTCACAATAAAAGGATAGACAATGTGAAATATAAAAAAGTCAAATGATGTTATTTGTTAAATACAAAGTTAATGCTAAGATGTTAGGTGCTAAGGAGAAAAGTAAAACAGGAAAGGAGGGTTATTAAATGTTAGGTTGGGAATGGAGGTGAAATTTTACATGGTGGTCTAAAGCCTTATTGAGAAGGTGACTTTTCAATAAAGACCTGTGTGCCTCGGTATCTGCCTTCTCCATAAGGTACATTGCTTGGTGTCTTCCTGACCTCTCAAGTGTTAGACCAGGGGTCCTCAAACTACGGCCCGCGGGCCACATGCAAATACAAATATTGTATTTGTTCCCGTTTTGTTTTTTTTTAAACTATAGTCCGGCACTCCAACGGTCTGAGGGACAGTGAACTGGCCCCCTGTTTAAAAAGTTTGAGGACCCCTGGTCTAGGGGATAAGCATTTCAGGCACAGAGTAAATCAAGTGAAGAGAAGAAGAGGAGCTGTCAGAGGTAAGCCCATGCAGGGATGCCTTCTAAGGCCTACACAGATAATGGTAAGGACTCTGAGTGAATTGAGAAGCCTTTTGAAAGTGTTATATGGAAAGCTGTCTGTATTGGCCTTCAGAATTCAGTGTGGCTACACAGTAATCCAGTTATATCACATTCCAGCATTACACAAATTACTCAGAGGACTCAAAATTTGTTATCATTGATTGTATATATTAATATATTCAAAAACACTTCTCTAAGAAGCAATGTATAATAGGAACTATCTATCCTATCTAATAATAGATTAACATGGTAATTAGCCGTACCTCCTCTACCCTTCCCATTGGCTAATCAGGGCGATAATGCAAATTAACTGCCAACCAAGATGGCGCCCGGCAGCCAGGCAGCTTGAAGCTAAATGTTTTCTTATAAGTAAAATGAGTTGTTCTAATAGATTTATGGAATTTTATCACAGAAAGGGAACTTCGTTTCATCTCAAGCATTTGTGTCTATAGAAATAGAAGCTCAGAAAAATCTCACAATTTGGGCAAGGGTGGTCAGAGTGACATTTTAAGTCTTCCCTCGGTCTCAATGACTTCCTCATGTTCTGGTTGCCTGTTTCTCATGAAGTCTCTTCACAAACTCTTTGCTGGTGCTCAGTATTGCAATCGATGTGTCAATGAAAAGTAAAATTTGGTCGTCTTGTCATTATACTTTTGGCTATCATAGCACTTAACATATTGCGTAAGTTGTCTATTTGTATGTGTGACTCACTAGTCTGGTCATGATTTAATTCAGGAAACAAAATAAATTCTAGGTATTTTAAGCAGAAAGACTGCATATATAAAAGCAAAGGGTACTTATCAAATCATTGGGAGAACTGGGGTAGCAGAAGTAGATTTCCACTGTACTTGTAAGTTCAAAGACAACAGTAGTTGTGATCCTGAGCACAAGAATCTGCTACAGCTCCCCCTGGCTGTTTCCACAACTGCTTCTCACACATGCAGTCTGGGAGCTCAACACTGGCTTTTGGCCATGAGTCTCCTCCATAAGACTCTAAGCTCCATACTAGCGGATATTATATCTGCTATGTTCACAAGTGCATCCCTAGTACCTAGTATGTCATCTGGTATTTAATAAGCATTGAAATGATTATTTTTTTTGCCCTAGCCAGTTTGGCTCAGTGGACAGAGCACCGGCCCGCTGACTGAAGGGACTTGGGTTCCATTCCGGTCAAGAGCACATACCACGCCCTAACCAGTTTGGCTCAGTGGATAGGGCGTTGGCCTGCAGACCAAGAGGTTCCAGGTTAGATTCTGGTCAAGGGCATGTACCTTGGTTGTGGGCACATCCCCAGTAGGAGGTGTGCAGGAGGCAGCTGATCAATGTTTCTCTCTCATCGATGTTTCTAACTCTCTATCCTTCTGCCTTCCTCTCTGTAAAAAATCAATAAAATATTTTTAAAAGAAAACAAAGAAGCCTTAAGAGGCACCCCAAAGGCAAGGCACAGTGGACAGTGTGAGAAGTCAGAGAAATGGTGGCTAGATCACGATCAGAAGTGTGTAGATAGGGAGAGTTTTTCTGAGGTTTTGCCTCCCTCCTTTTTAAGAGATTACACTTGTAAGTGTACCAACCAGGATCCAACAGGAAATGGTTGACACACTCCTGATCTATATATATAAAAGGATAATATGCAAAGTGCCCCCTCGGGAGTTCGACCACTCACTATGATGTGTGCTGACCTCCATGGGGCAGCGTGGAATGAAGAAAGGCCCTGGCCAGCAGCCGGAAGGCCCCAATTGGCCATGATGGCCAACCAGGCCTAAGGACCCTACCCATGCATGAACTTCCTGCACCAGGCCTCTAGTTAGTATATAAGTATTGGCTGAAACAATAAGTGAAATTGTGAGATTGCTTAGGGTGAAGATGTAGAAGTAGAAGAAAAGAAAGGGCCAACTATAAAGTTTCACCAACACTTTAAGAGGGGGGGGGGGCAGAAAGAGATTTGGGGAATGGATTTTTCATTACTGGAGCTTTCTTGTTTTATGTTTTGTTTTATAAGCAATCTAAGGATCTGTCTTCTGAAACAGATTGCTTGATTGGGTGGGAGCAGGCTGGGAATCATGATATTGTACAACATTGTTATTTGAAATACAAGGATTCTTTGGAGCTGTGGTAGAGTTGATAGTTGCCATGGGTATATCACAGTAACACAGCAACTGTATAATGTGTGTGCCTTCAATCTACCACACCTGAAGAGTGGGTTTTTTCCTCTGTATGTGCTCATTTGTCAGAAATTTAGAAACTGAGACAGATACCTGGACTCCAATAACAAAATTAAAAATATTATTCTAGTCACTAAAAAAATTTATCTTACAGACTAAAGGCTAAAATTTTTCATAAACTATAACGAAGAATATGGCAAGTGTATGCAACCTGAAAATTTAATGTTTTTGTGTGATTTTTAAATTAAATTTTAAATTGGTATGTGTTATTTTGTTTCAGATATTTTCCAAGTATGGCAAAGTTGTAAAGTAAGTATTCGCATAAAATTTTGAAACTTCATTTAAAAGTTTATCTTAATTTACTTCTCCATTATTTTTAATGGTAGTCAATTTACTATATTTTATAAAACAAATATTTGATATGACAAAGTAAATGAAAATACTATTGTTAACATTTTTACATATATATGTCATTTTTCTATGTATGTAAACATGTACAATTTTCTTGAAAGACTCAATTAAATTCTGACAACTGCCTTTTAAGGTAAATACTGTTATTATCCTGTTATTATTATAAATGACAAAATTGTAAACCTAAAATTATATTGCTAGTTTGTAGTGGAGACTATTTAAATCCAACAGTTTGATTCCAGAGCCTACTCCCTTAACCCTACCATTACCTTTTCTTGTTTTGTCCCTGTCTGTCAGAATCGCCAAATGAATTTCCATACAAATATATAACTATGAGAATGCTATGAAGTTAAAGACACAGAGTTGTAAGGACCTATAACGGGGAAGACCTGATCTAGTCTAGATAGTGAGGGTAGAGTTGCCTAAGTCAGGATCCTTTGAGTTGAAAACTAAAGACTGAGTAAGAGTTAAGTAGGCAAAGCAAATGGAAGAAACATTTTCAGTAGAGGAAACTGCTTGTGCAAAGACCCTGTGGCAAGAGAAAATAAAGTGACATCATGAAACAGAGAAAGCCAATATGACCAGAGATGAGTGAACAAGAGGGAGAAATGCCAAGAGATGGAAGCAGGTTCCTAATCTTGCTTTTTGGCCAAGTTACAAGATATTTGGTTTTCATCCTAAGAACAACAGGAATCCATTAAAGAATTTTAAATGAGGGAGTGACATTGCTTTACTCCCTTTATATTATCAATGTTTAGTGCCTGGACTTGCAGCTAATTGAGTGACTGAATGACAACATGAATAAACAAATAGATGTACTCTTTTGAGAAACTTGTTTCCCATTTGCATCTATCTTTTTCCTTTAACATATTGAGCTAGGCTTAATAGAAACAACCTTAAAGGGGTGTTTATTATAATACACTAGAGGCCCGATGCACGAAAATTCGTGAAATAGTAGGCCTTCCTTTCTCCAGCTGCCAGCACCAGCTTCCTTCCGGCACCAGGGACCCAGGCTTCCCTCCTCCGGCCGCCGGGCAAGCACCTGGGACCCGGGCTGCTTCCCTCTTCCAGCTGCCCCCAGGCACCCAGGACCCAGGTGGCTTCCCTCAGGCCATCCACAGGCACCCAGTACCCGGGCTGCTTCCCTCCTCCGGCCACCGGCCAGCACTGGGACCCAGGCTGGCTTCCCTCGGGCCGTCCGCAGACACCCGGGACCCGGCCTGGCTTCCCCCTGCCCTGGCTTCATCAGGAAGGACATCTGGAAGATGTCCGTTCTAATTAGCATAGTACCCTTTTATTATTAGATGAGATGAGGCATAGTTTTTACATAACTAGATTTCAGTAGAGGCTAGCAGAAAGATGGAGAAAGTATTTCTAGTTAAAGAAAATAGTTCACCTTATACCCTATCCCAGCCTTGGAATCAGCCATTTCTCCTAAGAGCCCTGTTGAACATCGTCTTTTAAACTATATTTAATGACATATAATGATGGATAAAAAGAACTAAGGATGTGTAAGGGATCAGGAGAAAGAGCAGACTCTGCTCTTATCACTTAGGTACTTTGGGTGGTATGGCTAAGAACCACAGAGCTGCAGAGTCTTTAAAAGAAGTTTAAGAATGTAGTTAGAGTCTAAAACCTAGAAAAAAACAAGTAGTTTTACTTTTTGTGTTAAGAGAATACTTTGTTTTGTTTTTTTCTACAAAGACTTAGTAGAGAAGAGGAATTATGCTGAGTCTTCAAGATCCCATTGTCTCTGTAATCTCTGCTTCATCCTTAAGCCCCTGATTACAGTTTGATTTATCAGATACTCCTAATCGTACCTGTGTTCACTAGTGTTAAATCAGTATCATACTTTCTTATTTCCATTCTTGATATCCCTTAACTTTGAAGAGATAAGCTATTTGTCAAATGTACTCATTTCTCTTACTATGTAAATGTTTTATTACCCTTTTTGAATACAGGTGTCTTCCAAGTTATTAATAGCTGTTTTATTTATTGCCGCTTCATTATTTTTAAGTATTTGTTTATGCTTTTAAGGGTTACTATAATGAAAGATAAAGATACCAGGAAGAGTAAAGGTGTTGCATTTATTTTATTTTTGGATAAAGACTCTGCACAAAACTGCACCAGGGCAATAAACAACAAACAGGTAAGCCTTTCATTCCCAATAAGGTTTTTAACCCAAAAGACTTTGTGCTCATCCAGGCCAAAAATATGGGGATGTAGTGGGTGATCAAGTCTGACAGGTATCAGTAGGTTCCGAGGTTATTTAACATGTGGAAAAGAAAAGATGCCAAAACTGTACTGGTTTTCCAAAACATTGGTAGAATAAGGAAGTAAGAGTCTATTCTACGGAACAGAATTTGTCACACCTAAGTAGGCAATTGTTAAAATAATCTAAAAAATAAAATAGAATTGAAGGTTTGAGGAAATGGGATCAGTGAATACATATTCTGCATTTACATTTTCTCCTGTTTAGTTATTTGGTAGAGTGATAAAAGCAAGCATTGCTATTGACAATGGAAGAGCAGCTGAGTTCATCCGAAGACGAAACTACTTTGATAAATCTAAGTGTTATGAGTGTGGGGTGAGTATACCTAAAACTTAATGTAATTTTCTATAGTGTAAAGTACTTTCACACCAGTATTTTATTTGTGCTCTTCTAAACTCCTGGGTGGCTAAAACCAGGTTATGAAAGATGTTTTAATCTGGGACTTGACTCGTCTATGCAAACTCAATTGAAATGTAGTATGTAAAGGTAACCTAAGTTGGATAATACAGAGTGACATTTTCTCCAGTTTCTAAATCTTTGAAAACTGTTAGGTTAAAAAGTATTGACTAATTACTTATATTATTGTCTTAAAAGATTTTAGTGACCCATAAATATTTGTGTTAATGGGATATTGCCTGTTTCTATAATATTTTGCCAGTTTAATGTCTGCCCCTTGGTGGTCAGTGCGCATCAAATCGACTGGTCGACCTATCATTCTGGTCATTTGGTCTTACCGATCACTTAGGCTTTTATGTATACTAATATATTTGTGCTCTGGTGGGGAGAGTGTCCCTCAGCCCAGCCTGCACCCTCTTCAATCTGGGAACCCTCGGGGGATGTCCAATTGCCAGTGGGATTGGGCCTAAACCGGCAATTGGACATCCCTCTCACAATCCGGGACTGCTGGCTCCCAACCGGTTGCTACCTGCCTTCCTGATTTCCCCTAACCACTTCTGCCTGCCAGCCTGATCATCCCCTAATTCCCTCCCAACTGCCCTCCCCTGCAGGCCTTGTCCCTCCCAACTGCCCTCCCCTGCAGGCCTTGTCACCCCCAACTGCCCTCCCCTGCAGGCCTGGTCACCCCCAACTGCCCTCCCCTGCCGGCCTGGCCTGGTTGCCACTAACTGCCCTCCCCTGCAGGCCTGTTCCCCCCGCAACTGCCCTCTCCCTGCTGGCCTGATCTCCCACAACTGCCCTCCCCGCCAGCCATCTTGTGGCTGTGGGCACCGCCATCTTTGAGGGCGCGGCAGTCAATTAGCATATTCCCTCCTTATTGGCTGTGGGCGCCTCCATCTTTGTGATGGCCTGAGGGTCAATTAGCATATTCCCTCTCTATTAGATAGGATAGATGGTTAGTCTAGCACTGTCAAATATGAATATAATGCAAGCCACAAATGTAATTTTAAATTTTCTAGTAGCCACATTGAAAAAGAAACAAATAAAATTTAAATCTTTTACTTAACCCAATATGTATCTAAAATGTAAAATATAATCATTTAAACTATGGTAATTAATGTTTTAAAATTAAGATATTTTACTTTCTTTTCTCATATTGTCTTCAAAATCTTGTATATATTTTACCCTTATAATGCATATCAATTTAAACAGGTTCTGGCTAACCACAAAAGAATTATGGATAGTGGTTACCATAATTGGATAGTGCAGGGATAGTCTAGATATGAAAGAAGCAAAATGAAATTAATTTGGAAAAATGAGGAAACTAAATTTTTTTTTGAAACAGAATGTTAAGCAACATCTTGGGAGTTAGGAATAGTTTTGTCCCAATTTTATCAAATAACTAGAGGGCGGGGGGGATGGTTCGTCAGCCCGGCCTGCCCCCTCTCACAGTCTGGGAGCCCTCAGGGGCGGGAGGCGACCCGGAGATCAGGGGAAAGTGACGCCCCCATCACACCTCTGCTGCTGCCACTGCCAGCTGCGCAAGCCTCGGCCGGCCCTGGTTACCTGAGCCTCGGGCAGCCCTGGGAGGCTAGGGAGCTGACATCTGAGGCTTGCCTGCGCCTTGGGCTGGCCCTGAGTGGCTTGGGGGCTGAAGGGACTGGGGACTCTGAAGGCAGGGCTGAGGGAACTGGGCGCTGCCATCTTTGAGGATGTGGCAGTCAATTAGCATATTCCCTCCTTATTGGCTGAGGGCACTGCCATCTTTGTGATGGTGTGAGGGTCAATTAGCATATTCCCTCTTTATTAAATAGAATAACTTAAAATGTTTATATTCAAGGTAGATAGTTCATTTAAATTTTGAATTGTTTTTTAGCATGTATTTAAAATGTTTGCAGGAAGAATACTTCTTTTACTCTTACCTCTTTGTGGACTTCTAAAATACTTTCTTATTGTTAAAATAGTTTATTAGGAGTTAAAATTACCTTCTAAATATTAATGGGTTTTATTAATTTCTTCATATATGTTCCCAGTGTGACAGTCTCTTTATTTTTTTAAGTTCTAACACCTTTTAGTCTTCAGGTACCAGGCAAGTTTCTATTAATAACACAACAAATATAATATTTTCCTTTCCTTTTTAATGGGAAACAAAAGGAAAGTGGACACTTAAGTTATGCCTGTCCTAAAAATATGCTTGGAGAACAGTGAACCTCCAAAGAAGAAAGAGAAAAAGAAAAAAAAGAAAATTCCTGAACCAGAAGAAGAAATGTATGTATATCCACTCTTACTAAATACATTATAGTGTTGTTTCTGTCTTTTTACTATTGGCTAAATGCATTCTGATTTTTTTTTTTTAATTTAGGGAAGAAGGAGAAGAAAGTGAAGATGAAGGAGAAGATCCTTCTCTTGACAGCCTCAGTCAGGCCATAGCTTTCCAGGTACTAAGTAGATTTTTTAAAAGGCACCATGCCATAGCAGCCTTGGGTTAACAGTTTTATATTCCTTACTTACTTTATTAATCATCTCCTCATTGTGGCAACCTGTCTTTCCCCTTCTCCTCCTAAACTTCAGGAGACTGACTACTTTTCTAAGGTCTTTAGAAACAGTATGATAGAAAAGTTCCTATTGGCTCCCAGATTTTAAGGACCCTATAACACTTTTAATATCACAATTTGTTTTCATTATAGAATTGAGCAGAACTATTTTATTAAAGTGAGTTTAGCCCAACAGAAAAGATTTTATTAAAGGTATTGAAAAGATATCTTTGAAAGAAGCTTCGCTTCAAAACAAAACCAAAAACATATTTTTGACAACTAAAGACCCTAATACAAATATATGAAATATTTTTTTTAAAAAGGATACATAATCTCCTAATTTTTATATAACCAGATATTTTGTTTTAATGTAGTTGACAAATGGTAAATGTATATGTCAATTTATTTTTCCTTTTAGTTAACTAATTTCATATTTTATAATTCCCAACCTTCAGCAGGAATGGAAAGTAGGCTTCATTTACTGTGCCTGTTATAATTAGTAGAAATTGCCTAAAATAATTTTGAGTAAATGGTGAAACAGATATATCAGGAGTGAGGGAGGAGCATTCTGATGGAGTAGAATTGTTTGCACAGACTGGGGGCATGGGGAGTGTTGGCACGTGTGATGTGGTTTTGCATTGTTTTGAATTAACGTACCATAATAAACAGGTTCCTGGTTTTGTTTGTTTTCTTACAGCAAGCCAAAATTGAAGAAGAACAAAAAAAGTGGAAACCCAGTTCAGGGGGTCCCTCAACCTCTGATGATTCAAGACGCCCAAGGATAAAGAAAAGCACATATTTCAGTGATGAGGAAGAACTTAGTGATTAAAATTATATTTATTATGTAAATAGTTAAAAAATTTAATCTTAGAGTACCAAGTTCAGTTGGGACTAAAGATTGTTTTTAGAATTTGATCATAAAAATACTTAATGTCAAGTAATTTTTTTACTATAAAATAGTTCACCCTAGCCAGATAGTTGAGTTGGTTAGGGCATCATCGCAGTACACCAAAGTTGTGGGTTCAGTCCCCAATCAGGGCACATATAAGAATCAATCAATATATGCATAAAAAAGTGGAACATCAGCCTGGCCAGCATGGCTCAGTGGTTGAGCATCAACCTAGGAACCAAGGAGGTCATGGTACAATTGCAGGTCAGGGCACATGCCCAGGATACAGGCTCAATCCCCAGTGTGAGGCTTGCAAGAGGCAGCCAATCAATGATTCTCTCTCATCATTGATATTTCTATCTCTCTCCCTTTCTCTCTCTCTCTAAAATCAATAAATATTTTTAAAATTACTATAAAGTAGTTATTGAAAAGAAATTTTAAAGTATCATGCTTCTATCCTGCCTTAGGAGAGTATTAATAATAAAGATTTGTTAATAACCATTAATCTTGAAAACTATATTTGAATTAAAAAGAAAATATATAATAAT